GTCATTTTTCCTTATATGCTTAGACCTATCTATTTTTAGGTGTTGCTATAAATAGAAATGGAAAACATCTTAAAATTAACTCCCCCGGCTTTCGTAATATCAAAAACAAAATTTAAAAAGAGAAAGTATTCACTTTTCCTCAGTAAGAAAGCGAAGATTCCGATTTCAGGAAAAATGTCATTAAAAATATTTAAAATCTTTTTATATGGCATTTCATTTGTATTGTATAATTTTCCATTCGTATTGTATAATTTTTCATTTGTGTCGTATAATTTTTATTTGTATTCTATATTTTTTTCATTTGGAATCGATCATTTTCCATTTTGGTTGTATAACATTTATTTGTATTCTATATTTTTAATTTGTATTGTAAAAAATCATTTGTATTGTATAATTTTTATTTGTATTCTATATTTTCCATTTGTATTGTAAAAAAACATTTATATTGTATAATTTTTAATTGTATTCTATATTTTCTATTTGCATTTGTATAATTTCTTATTTGTATTGCATAATTTCTTACAAAGGATTTTATTGGTCATTAGTCTGTATAAAATGTTCAAAATGAGCGATCGAGATGTTTCAGGTGCCCAACACAAACTTTGTCTGGTACCCTTCCCACAATTCCATTCGAGCACTTTCTACAACACAAACTGGGCGCCTCTTTTTACTTGCATGCTAAGGGACGACCATTTGATTCTCGAGGGAGGGGGGTTTTGTCGAATCCGATTATTTATTTTCATTATGACCAGAGACAAGGAGAAAAAGGAAAAGAAGAAAATCTACCCAAACCCGAAAACTCACTTTCTTGGGGGGGGGGGGGGGGGTGTAGGTACTACCACTCTAGGTCAGTTTATTTATTTTTCTCAGTTAACATTTCTAAGGACAGATTATTTATTTGCCATCTGCCAGCGCTCCCTTTTTTTAAGAATCCAATGAACGTCCTTTAGCATGCACTCAAATACATATGCGCCCAGTTTGCTTTGAACATCTCGCTCGTTTTCAACCCGGTACAGGCTAAAAGTTGACCAATGAAATCCTTCATAACGAAACAATCAGCGGATACAATACAAATGAAAAATTATCGCATACAAATAAGAAATTATACAAAACAGAAAAGAACTTATACAATGCAAGTGCAAAATTATAGAATACAAATGGAAAATGATAGAATACATATAAAAATTATACAATACAAATGAAAAATTATACAATATAAATAGAAAATTATACAATACAAATAAAAATCATATAATACAAATGAAAATTTATACAATACAAATATAAAATTATAGAATACAAATAAAAATCATACGATACAAATGAAAAATTATACAATACAAATAGAAAAGATCGAATATTGCAATGTTTGGCATGCCATATATTTAATAGTAAAGAAAAATGATGCCTTTTTTTTTTAATAAGAAAAATAGTCTGGTTTGATTGATGATAGAGAGACTTAAAAATTAACATCAGGTTTGGACTTCCTTTTAAATCTGGTTTGCTGAACATGAAAGGGTTACAGATTAATTAAGTACTTAGCTTAGTAAAAACTAACATTGTCCAAAATAAATAAATACCCCCCACTGGGTTTTTCAGAGAAGGTGCCAAGTCACAAATACTAGTATTTGATGGATCTAAGAGGTGTTCACTAATTGCTCATTATATTTTTTTAATGAATGAAACGAAGGCGCAGCCTACTAAAACAACAACACTTATAATAACTTTTTTTTGTTACATTGAAAAAATAAATAACAATTTTTCAAGTATTCCTTTATTGGGAAGTATGGATGCATTATTTATCCATTTTTTCTCCAGTGACTATAGGTCAAGATCATAACACACCCTCAGGTCATAAGCAATCTTTGTGTAAAGTGGAAACTCCCAACATTCCAACATTATTCTCCATAAGAAAGATACAGCCGGACATGAATTATGAACTTTTTCTGTCAGTGACCTTGAACTTGCAAAAATGACCTTGGGTGAAGGTCATGCCACACCCTCAGGTCATAAGCAATCTTTGTGTAAAATGGGAACTCACGAAGTTTATCCATAAGAAAGATATGGACTGGACACGATTTATGAACTTTTTATTTCAGTGACCTTGAACTTGTCCAAATGACCTTGGGTCAAAATCAATACACATCCTCAAGTTATGAGCAATTTTTCTGTATAATGGGAACTCACCAAGTTTATCCATAAGAAGATATGGACCGGGCACGAATTATGAACATTTTCTTTCAGTGACTTTGAACTTGCCCAAATGACCTTGGGTCAAGGTCATGACACACCCTCAGGTCATGAACATTTTTTGTGTGTAGTAGTAGATTCTAATGTTCCTCATTAAGAAAGATATGGACGGACACCTTTGCACAGCTAGACAGACAGCTAGACAGACGGACGGACGGGCGGGCGGACAAACTTCGATTGCGGGGGGTATAATAAACCTTGCTGGCTGAAAAAAATAATTGTGTTGTAGATATTGCAATTTTATACAATTTTTGACAAATTTTATCATTTAGGCAAAATATTTGATATTGAAACGAAGGATGGTGTTTGATTGCTAACTGATGTACAGAAACATGGTAGCGTGCTGAAATATCTAGCTCATGAGTTGTATAAAATGAAATAATTATGTAATTTGTTTAAAAAAACAAGGAGGCTAAGATTTAGGAATGGAGAGAATTGGACAACAAATATGGCGGTAGGCTACTCTTGACAAAAGATTAAACTGTTTTGTTTGTAGAGAGTAGAAATGCATACTTATTTTACTCTTATTTGTTTAATGACTTATGTAGGAAGGACAAAATCTTTATAAGCTAATGCATGATACAAAATAAAAATGACTTAAACTCCTTTGTAAAACATTTCCCAAATTCCAAATTTATATGGTTTCCGGTTAAAATGGAGGTACTCTCAAAATAATAAAGCAATGGAAAGAGCACGTGTTCGCTTTAATAAAGCTGGATGTCCTTGCTTTCAAGGGCTGCTATTTGAAATATCCATAACCCCTGAAGGATATATCCCTCTTTTTGTTAAAGACTGTGTTCACGTATCTGACCTTGGAAATTATGCATTTCTTAACATACATTGCTGTCTAATGATCACAATGATTATGTACTGCAAACGTTTACTCGATTGCAGCTATTTGGCGTGTACGCACACTTAAGTTAACTGATATTTTAAATTAGTATTATTAATGTGAAATAAGTCGAGTAACAGTTGACACTGATCGATAAGTAAAAAAACCTTCCGTGGATTACCCGGGTCGGTCAATTTTTATGTTTTCTGAATTTGATTGATGATTGATGTGTTTATGCTGCGGTGCATGGATCTGTCAATTTCGTTGGCGACCCACGAATTATGCCACGACAATACTCACCACATACAAATAAATAATTTTTAACTTTTTTGGTGGGATTGAATGTTCTCTATAAAAATAAATGAAGTAAACGAAGCAATTATATGAGTCCAAGTGCACCGTGTGTACGAACGGCTTTGGATAAAGTTGTGAACATAACTCGAATAATCAAACAATCTGTATATTTGCGAAACATGTTCAGTAAATGAAAAAAATGATATACTTTATGATATCATGAATATCTTTCGATAATTCACATTACGGTTAGGTACTTGAAATTTGTTTTTCCCAGTTCCGATCATCTATTTTAATGAGAATATCTAATAAAATTTTGACCAATCGATTTTCTTGGCAGACATCTTCCCACGAATATCAATTTTCTGGATTCATTTATTCAAACTAACATTGAATATACACTCACATGCCAAAGGTATGTCATTTTTCTCACAAGATGGTTGTCAACTTTACTTTTTGAATAAAATAATGCACTGAACTGGTTACTATGGCGACGTAATATTTTGTTATGAAGCCTCTGGCCGTAATAACTTTCCTACATCGTTTTGTTACATGTAGAGGGCCTAAGTCAATTTTTTGACAGATTTTTCCAAGCATACTGTAATTCGTATTTTAGGTCAACTACGTTACAGATGTGGAAAATTCGACTTTTAACATGACTTTTTAAAACAAGCCAAACATTTTCAATAGGATTTACATCAGAAGATTGCGGAGTCCAATAAAAAGGTGGAGTGTTTCCACTCCTCTGTCTCTCTAGAGCAATGCACAGGCCTAAGGCAGTTGCCAAGTTGAATTTCCAAAATATTTCACATCACGCGATAAGGCCACAGATGTTCATCTAACACCATGTACTTCTGAGAGTTCATGTTTCTGTTAACAAATGCCAATATTCGATCTCGATAGTAAATAATTAATTATCCCCTAAATCACTAACATCATACTGCGTGAGGACCCCTGCTCTAAATACTCTACAAGAGCCTTTCCATTACTCCAACATAAACTTTTCCATCATATAGATTTTACAACTATGGCCATTTCATCACTACAAATTACGTTCTCCCAGTGTTGGTCAACTTTCCAAGCTATTTTTCCATTTTACTGAAGTCGTTTCCTGTTCACTTACGCACCCCTATTTCTTTTTTTTTGGCTAGGCTTATCCAGTATTCCTGACGATGTCTTGTTCTTTTTCGATACCGTTTTTGGTACTGATCAGTTGTATTCTTCGGTTATATCGAAAGTAAAAAAAAACTCATCTGTCATTCTTTACGATCTTCCAGTTCGAGGTTTCTTTTAAACGTCGCCGCGCTCACGAAATCCTTTTAAGAATCGAGAGAGACTGTGCAAAGATTAACTTAACTTCTTATAATACGCCTCTTTTCTTCAAAAAGATAGTTCACGGTCCTTTTGTCCCATGCATGCTTGTCGTTTTCATTTACAGTGTAAAAAAAATAGTAGAACGTATGACTACGTCTGGTTTAAAAAGCATAAAAATAATCTTAGGGCGAATTTGTTGCGCTTAAACTGGTTCAGGTTTTGGTTTATAGTTTGAAACTAGTTTTCAAACTGGTTTCTAGTTTCAATCCGGTTTGCCTCGGTAAAACAAATGAACAGTTTAGACATAAAGATGGCGTCTAAAAGGCACAAACATGCCTGTGTTTGCATGATTATTAATTCTGCATTTTTAGAAAATGATAGCAACTTAGAAGATCATGAAGTTGGTCTATTGTCTCAACTCCAAATGCATACTTCAATGTGTTCTGCTCTTATGACCCTGATTCCTCAGCGTCGGATCAGAATTCCTCGAGCGCTTAACTATGTTGAGGAGATCATTCCAAAGTATACTGAGGAAGATTTTAGACGAAGGTTTCGAATGAGCCCAGGAACATTTTCATCTCTTTTAACAATTTTCTTAGAATTTAAAGAGAAAACAATTATACCAATGGAAAAACAGTTATTAATTTTCAAACGCTATTTGACAACACAAATGACAATCCAAGCTATTGCTGACCAATTCGGAGTATGTGAATATACAGTCTTTGATATTTTAAAGCGCCTCGCAAACATTGTTTGCCGTGAACTTCTGCAGCAATGCATAAAATGGCCAGATGGTGAAAAAGTTTCCAACATTGTTAAAGGGTATAAAGATTTAAAAAATTTCCCTGCTGTAATTGGTGCCATTGACGGTAGTCACATACCTATAAAAACTCCAAATCATTGTCCAGAAAACTACATTAATCGAAAGTCATTTCCGTCTGTCATTCTTCAGGCCGTGTGTGATTCAAAAATGCATTTATTAGATGTTAACTGTGGTTGGCCGGGATCTGTGCATGACTCCCGAGTTTTTAAAAATTCAGAATTGTACCAAAGGATTCAGAAAGACCCAGAGGGGATGTTTCCCAACAATACACACCTTCTGGGGGACTCTGCTTATGGTCTTGAAATGTGGATGATGACTCCCTACAGGGACCGTGGAAACCTAACACAAAGTCAGTATCAGTACAACTATATTCACAGCAGTACTAGGATGGTAATTGAACGCACTTTTGGGGCCATAAAAGGAAGATTTCGCCGCTTGAAATTTGTAGACATTCAGGACATTGAAAAAATTGTAAAAGTAGTGATTAGTTGCTGTGTGTTGCACGAATTTTGTCTACAGCATGACGATGATTGTGTAGAGTATATAGAGGAGGGAGGAGAGGATGAAGTCAACAACTTTGTGCAAATTTTATGTGTAAATAATGCTGCAGGAGAAAAGAGGGATAGTATTGCAAGAATGTTATAATATTTTTCCTGTTCATATACAACGTAGGCACCTTGTTATGAACAGAAAAACATATCTAAATTACACATGCATGAGAAACTGAAACTCCTTTCTTAATAAAGAATCCAAAAAAAGTTTATTTGTTCATTGTTAATCTTACTTAAAATGAAGTATTTATATTAATGCATCAAATATTCATCAATGATCAAATTCTGAATTTTTTTTTCAACACAGTGGAAAGATAAAAACTCAGGTATATTAAATTTTATTGTAACACAAAAATAAATCAAAGACAGAGGATACCTTCCTCAAAATAATGCGGTCTTGAAGCTAGTGCTCCCCTTCTATTATACTCAAAGGCTTATATAAATAATTTTACAAAACATTCTGATACATGTATACTGTATACATCCATACTTTTCATTTTCAAATTTAAGAAAAAAGCTTTATTTATGATAATCATCTGGGTTCTACAGAAGATAATAAATATTTAAATCAAAAGAAAGTCAACAGTGACAACAGCCAAGACCAGACAAACTTGATAGTAAAAGCTTACTTAAGTCTTTACTTAATATACCACAATAGGAACTTCAACAATGAAATAATCTTATCTGATAATAACAAGGCATGAAAAATTGACTAATGGTCATATCAGATTCTCCTGTCAACTACAAACCAGTCCACTAACTTGCCAGAAATTACCATTAAGTAATCTTTCTTACACTAAAAGATAACATAATAGTTACTACTGTTACTATTTTTTCATGGCTTCAACCAACTGAGCCATTATTTCAAGTTTTTTTTCTTCATTTTCCATTTTCTTCTGATGTTGTTCCTTCAGTGTCTTCATCATCTCCTTGTGTTCTTTTCTCATGTCATCCAAGATTTCTACTATTTCACTTGCCTGCTTACTCTTCTTTCTTTTGGGGGTCACATCACAGTCACTTGAAGTTGACTCTGCCTTTGATTCTTCGTTATCGGTTTCATCCTCCTTGCGTGTTCCTAGAGTGAATACGGGTTTAACATTCGGTTTATACCCATAACAGTCTTCTAGTTCTTTATAAAATGGACATTCTTTCCGTTCATTGCCTGATTTTGAGTTGTGATCAACGCAATCTCTATATGCTTTTGTAAGATTTTTCCATTTCTGTTCACATTGATTCACTGTGAAAGAGAAACCCCTGTTGTGCATTTCAGAACAAATTATCTTCCAAACTTCCTTCTTTTTCATAGAGGGTTTTGTGAATTTGGCAGAATGCATGGTGTGTAATTCTATTAGATGACTGGTTGCAACTTTAGACCATGATGAAATATTGCTGGTACTTGATGAATTATTGCTGGTACTTGATGAATTATTGCTGGTACTATTGCTGGTACTTGATGAATTATTGCTGGTACTTGGGTACTTGGTACATCAGACCATGATGAATTATTGCTGGTACTTGGTACATCTGTTTTACTTTCATCTGCAAATAATTTGGAAAAAAATCATGACTGGTATATTATGTACATATTCTGTTCAAAGCATATTAAGTAGTATTCAAGCATGGGGATAGCAAATATTATCAGGGGCTTGACATAAATGGGTAAATATACAATGTACAAACTCAGCATTTTATGATGTTTCACTTTGAATTAAAAATATAGATATATTATATAATTAGAGACATAAATTTTTTACCAGTTGTTTCAGTGCTTTCATTGGCCTCAGAGTATCTTGAAGATTTGCAGCATATAACTTCGTCGAATCTACACCAATCAGTTAGGAGATTGACCACCCATGGTTTTGTATTTCGTACAAATTCTTTTCCAAAAACAGACAAATTTTCTTTAACTTTTGGGTAAATTGGTTTGGTTTTGTTGAAAACCATAACTGCCTTATCATCATTCCCTTGGTCTTTCTCTCTAAAGTTATTGGCTTCAGTTTCATTTTCAAACACATATGTGTTAAGAAATTCTTCTGAAATTAACGTATGATATTTTTTTGACACCAACTCTTTCACTTGAACTACATTGTTGTTGGTAGAGCCTATGAAAAAGGTATATAATAATAGTAAAGCAAATATAAATGATACTGCTCAAATCAATGAATCTTTGTGAGAAATGTTCAGAAATTTAACATTAAAAACTAAAATTCTCTGTCAGTAAATGAAAATTGTCAACGTAAAGATATATTTGTTGACAGACCATATCACTATAAGTATATATTACTGTTCATCAGTTATACTGTAACTAGAATTTCTTCTATCCCATACAAATGCTGGTTTCTTTGGATTTTATAACTGAAAGATGTTTTATTAACAAGAAAATCCTTTTGTTACATTCAAATCAAATAAATGCAGAATCAATTATCTTACAAAAATGTTTTTCAAACTCCGGAATTACTTCCGTTTCAAAAGAGCAGACAGCACATTTCAGCAATATTGCAGACGCTGTCGCCATGCTGGAAAAGCTTCCCGCTATTTCGTAAACCGAATAAACCACCATCGGAGGTGGTTTGGTTGGTTCAAGGAACTGGTTTCGGTTACAGCAAAAACAAATGGAAAACCGGTTCTGGGTTGAAACTAGTTTAAAACCAGTTTGAGGAACAAAGGAACGGTTAACCAAACTGGTTCGAAACTAAAACCAGTTTTTGAGAAACAAATTCGCCCTAATTAGATGGCTTGTTGGTAACAAAAACTCTACTTTAGGACAGTCATCTTGAAAAAAAAAACATACATGTACTTTTGGCTCTTGAATGTATAATCAACATAATTTGAAACAAGTTCATATTATATTAGATACATATATGCTAAAGATATTTCCAAACTCACCATTTAATATTCCTGTTGGAGTTATACCACTCATACCACTCATGAGGTTTCCAACGGCATTCAACATACCAGAACCTTCTGATTTGTCGCCAAGAAATTCTTTTGCATGATTTTTTTTCTGTTTCCTGGACTGAAACAATTGAGACAAATAATTTGATATATATATATTCTAATTGTGAAAATGACATTTACCCATGATAGAAAAGCAACAGATTCTAAAAAATCTTGAACACAAAATGACTCGATGCATATGAAAAGATCTTTACTTATAAAATAAGAAATCTTGCGTATACATGTAAACATCGAAACGCTTAGCTGCACCAGAGTTCCTACTTACTGCTCTAATATTACTCTAGATATAAAGTGATGTCTTGTACAACACTTAGATTTCACTTGCATAGTAATTATAATTAATTTCATTAAATAGACTACTTTGTTTTCGTGAAATATCAAAAAAGAGAGTACGGTGGTGGGAAAGTCTGGGATCTAAGTTATTTGCAATTTTTAATGAAAGTGACAACAGGCAAACGTTTAATTACTGTAAACCAACTATTATTCGCGTCATCTTTTATTCGCGATTCGTCAGTTTGAAATTATTTCGCGACAATTAATTTTCGCGTCTGAGGAAATATTCCCTACAAATACAAAGCAAATTAAATGGTTCGCGGCGATTAGTATTCGCGAGTTTAAAGTTTGTCGTGAAATTTGCGGATATTTCTCGCATGCGAATAAAAGTTGGTTTACAGTATATGATTAAATGTTGTTAAATATTGGTTTATTGTTAACTTTGTTTGTTTGTTGTTTAAGGTCCCTCTCGAGAATTTTTCACTCATATGGAGACACCATTTGCCGTTGGGGTGTTGCAAATTTTGACCTATACTCGGCACTCAGGGCCACTGAGCAGTGAGGGATCTTTTTCGTGCCAGCATCTATTGCGACACGGGACCTTGGTTTATACGGTCTCATTCGAAAGACCGGTCTTCACGTCCCACATTGGTTTAAGTGATCTAGAAGAAATAAGTTGTGATTGAAAAATATGCCAATAGTTTTCGTCAGTTCACAATTTTAGTCCTGAGGGAATTTTCTAGAAGGTCATTTTGCTTGGAACCCGATGTTAAAAAGATCAAGAGGCCCATGGGCCACAACGCTCACCAGAGTACCGAGTACCTATAAATGGCCTTTCTCTTCTTCATCAGCAAATTCTTTTTTCTACTTATTTTTCTGTAAAACTTTGATCACATGTTATGACCCCAGCCTACCCCAGGGGGTCTTGATTTGAAGAAAACTTCAATCTACACTACCTGAGGATGCTTCCATATCAATATGAATAATCATGGATATGCTGTTCTTGAGAAGAAGACTTTTTAAGATTTTTTCCTATGTATTTCCTATATAAAACTTCGATTGCCTATTGTGGCCCTCACCCTAATCCCGGGGTCATGATTTGAATTTTCACTACCTTTAATGCTTCCATCTAAATATGATTAGTCATTGCTGAGTTGTTCTAGAGGATTCTTTAAGCCCAGTACAGTTAATGGAAATATCAGCGATTTTTTGTGGGAAAAAACATTTTTATCAGGATGGCGATTCATTTTTTTATACTACACTAATATCGGACAAATGTAATTACTAGTATTGTTATTAACTACATATTGAAGACAATTAGTTTTTCTATTTAGACTCGTAATGTGATGTGGCAATCACGTGATTTCGGCACATAGACTTGCAGTATTGAGGTCGCCTACGAGTTTTAATAGTGCAAGGTCATAAAAAAAGTTAAAATTCTAAGTTTATTTTATAAATATTTTCAAAAATCATATTAGTTTGTGAAAAATGCTGCCACACTGTTTAGGATCGCAAATACCTCAACATTTCTAGAGTTTATGTGTAAAACTTTACTTTGATCACTGAGTGTATGCCCTTGCACAATGTCGATTTATTAAAACCCTTACATTACCCTCCAATGTACCTGCAAACATATATAAGGCAGTATCAGTTAACTAGGAAATGTACGGAAATCATTTGAATAAAATCATAAAAAAAGACATTGCATCCAAGTTAATGACTTCTTAAATATCTGCAAATATTTTTTTTTAATATTTAAGGAGGAAATTCTACAAAAACATATGGCAGATTTAAATATTTTTAATATTGCCAACAATCAAAATAAATTTGGCTTTCCATACCTATACTGGATTCCTAAACTTC